TCTCAAATCTTCAATTAAAGCCTATGAAGATTTCTACCATTTTCAACCCAATCCTTACCCATTTGAACTTAACAATCTTTCCACAACCTTATTGGTATATATATATAATACTCTTACACCCAAGAATCATATTATAAATCACCCATTTTTACTCCAAACCCGAAATTGAAGGATTGAGGAAAGAAATTCTTACCTCTTTGAAGCCCTAGCAAGATCCTTGTGAAATCTTCAAACCTTGAACAAGAATTGATAGATAAATAACTAAGTCTTCACTTTCTCTCTCTAAAATGCTCTCACCTCTCTCTAAAATATCAGATTTTTGCTAAAAAATGAGCTTCAAGGGCTATAAATCGAAGTTGGGTTGGGTAAAAAATTAGAAAGAATGGAAGCTCCGACGCAGTTATGCGATCGCATAACAGGTATGCGGTCCGCATATCCGCCGCATAATTTGGCCTCCAAAACTGGGTGTTACTGACCCGGTCTGCGATCATTATGTGACCTGCATACTTATTCTACGGTCGCCTAATGCACCGCAAAACAGGTCTGTGGTCGCATAATATATCGCAAAATAGGTCTGTGGTCGCATAGTGCACCACATATTTTTCTCAAATCTTGCCCCTCTCCTGATCCACTTTGTGACCATTATGCGGTCCGCATAGTGATTCTGCGACCGCAGAGTGGTCGCAAAAATGACTTTTTTCCCACAAAATTTTCCTTTACACATCGGTGCATTGTTCAACCCAAAAAGTCTGAGTTGCGGCGACTCGGCACCTCCAAACCTTAATTTCCTTCGCAAAATTTCTCCGGGGTCGTTACACATAAGTTAACATCCGGTCAACATTTTCAACTTAAATTCTAAACCTTAGAACTAAGCGCTCTAAATCATTTCAAAATCTCACCGAACCCAAACCAATTACCCCGGCAAGCCAAATAACAACTGTAATTCATAATTTAAGCAGTAAATGAGGGAACTGGATTGCAATAGTCAAAGCGACCGACCGGGTCATTACACTCCGTAGACATAGTGTGGGTTGTATTTTGGTGTTGGAAAAATCAAACTAGTTATGTTGTATTTGAATCGCTTGGTCCACTTCAAACTATGAAATATATGTATTTGAGACTTTAAAAAAAAGGAAGTAACTAATGGTAATAAATTGGTGTTGCTCACATGATCTCCTCATGGTCTAATTAATAAATTATGTCTTCACTTTACTCATGGACAAGGTCGGGTCAAAAGCATACATCATGCTTGCTTGACCGGATTATCTCGATTGAGCACCGATTGCGCTCCACGAATTCGGGGCGTGAACACATATACTCTCTTATAGATCTTTAAGCAATACAAAGGCAATATAATATATTGATGTTTAGCTAAACTACAGAGAATACCATCATTTACTAAGTTTTTAACTTTCCTTTTGGCATACCACAAAATGCTTCAAGTTTTAACCTCGTATAAGTTTACACTATTTGTTCAACCAACAACTATAAATTATTATGGTAGTAAATCGTTATATTTATATCTCCTACTAGAATACCGTGTGATTCTTTCTGACATATTGATTTGATGCTACATTAATAAATTGGTTCTTATTATTTGCAATTCTAAATTTGAATTATGCTAGTAGTCTCTCTACTTGCACAAAGTAAAATAAGATTTACGTATACGTTACCCTTTTCAAACCATATTTGTAGAATTACATTGAATTTTATTATTGTAAATTTCATTATTTATTGCCAACCTCGTAATAGTATTTAATTTGAATACAGTTGGGATAATAAGTCTAAAATTAGTTGTTTAAAATTATGGGACAAGTAATCTTTGTTCACTCCACCAATTTTTGTTCACTTCATGTTTGTCAAAACTTATACTCAAACTATGGACAATGTTTTGGAAAATATGTGTTAATTTGTTTTGAACCCACGTATGTTACATGGAGGTATAGTGAATGTATAAGTGTTTTTTTGTTTTTAATTCCTTCCAAATATTATTATGTTTGATTAATTTATATATTTAATGAAAATACAATCATTGTATTTTAAAAAGAAGTTGGAATTTGTAAAAGTGACAAAATTTAGATTTGTTAGTTCCCGTTTGGCCATAGATTTTGGCTATTTTTTTCAAAAAAAAAAATTAAAATATTTTTTGTTCATGGAATATGATAAGTTTTTAAACAAAAAATTGAAAAATAATTTCAAGTTCCCAAAAATTGCTGAATTTCTTTTCTCCCACTCATAAAACTTTAACTTTTTAAAAAAAAATGCATGTTCTCACAAAATGCATGTCCAAACACAACTTCAATTTTCAAAAATTATTTTCAACACAACTTCAAAATATTCACGATGATAAAATGAATAAAAAGACTTTAAAAATATTTTTTAGTGCTACAACTTTGAAAGATTAAATAATAAATAAATACAATTTAAAACGTGGGAAAAAAGAATTTCAAAACTTAAAAATATTACAGCAGGAAAATAGAAGAATACACAATAGACACATACTACGAGTCTGAATCTTGAATTGTGTTGAATTCTGAAAATGTTGGTCTGTGCCTTCTCATTAAATGTTTACAAGAATAAAAAAAATTCAGTTTTATAACTTTGAATATAAAATATTTGTAGATCGTGGTAAAATAATTTAATTCTGAATGTTGGTCTTTGCCTTCTCATAAATAAGTCAACTGTCAACATTGTGTCTGCTGCCAATTATTTTCTTATTTTGTTTTTTCATAGCATATTTTTCTGTAAGCAGTTAGATGAGATCTGACAAATTTAAAGGTGCATTTTCAATTACCGATGAATGTCTAAATCCAACTAGATTGTAGGGTCAAAATTGTCGCTCTTTTCGTACCAGAAAAAAGAGATAATTAATCCCGAAATTAAATTTAAAATATATTTATCTCATATTTAGTTGAGATAAAATCGTGATATAATTAATTCAAGAATTAATTATTCCAAAATTATAGTATTTTCTATCTTCATGAGAGGTGAGATAATTAATCATGAGATAACTTATTCCAAACCAAACGATCCCTTACTGTTTTGTACATGTCCTCTTGCCTATTGCTGTTTGTCCCCTTGACGTTATATTTACAAATCATAATATTTATCACTCAGTAAATAAGAATTGAACCTCAAACTAGTTAGATCAGTTATACAAATCATTCAAATCTAATTTTGCCGTTTCATTTCTTAAAAGATTAATTGTAATACTAAAAATATACTTTCTCCGATTCATAATAAGTGATCAATTTATTTTTTTTATTTTGGTCCAAAATAAGTGTCCATTTATGTAATCAAGAAAAAATTCAATTTGTTTTTACTCTTTTACCCTTATGTGCATATTCCTAAAAAATTTTCTTACTCCTCACATTAATGTGCATATCCCTAAAAAAAATTCTTCTCACATTAATATTTAATTAAGGATAGTTTAGTCATACTAGGTATTTTTGTATAGAATTTAGTATTTTCTTAATGGGCGTGCCTAAAACAAACTGGTTACTTATTGTGGACCGGAGAGAGTATCTTTTAATGTAATTAAGAGTTCTCAAAATAAAACTAAACTTACGTTTTCATTCACATATAGATCTCCATCAAACATAAAATGCTCTTCGACAAGCAATTAATCACGAGAAACAAAGTATTAGGGTTTATACCAAACGAGGGATAAGGAATAATAATCTCGCTATTAGATTCAAGATTATTTTATCGTGCGTTTGATTGAACTTTTGAATCCGGAATAGCAATATCGGAATTAATTAATCCCATAATTGGGTATTATTATATTCGATATTGACAGTGGAGTAATAATTTTCGGATCAATTAGTCACGAAATAAACACTAAACTAAAAAAGATGTCCATCCAAGACACTTCCTCCAAAGTCTTTTGAACAATCAAAGTTAAAATTGAAAATAAAAATTTGGCCCAACTTATCTATTATACGTTAGGACAAGAGTGGGTTGCTCTAGTGATGAGCACCCTCCACTTTCAATCGGGAAGTTGTGAGTTCGAGTCACCCCAAGAGCAAGGTGGGTAGTTCTTGGAGGGAGGGAGCCGGGGGTCTATCGGAAATAGCCTCTCTACCCCATGGTAGGGGTAAAGTCTGCGTACACATTACCCTCTACAAACCCCACTAGTGAGATTATACTGGGTTGTTGTTGTTGTTATCTATTATACATTAAACACATGTTTATACTATATCCCGTATATTCTAGTTTTAGTCCAATGAACCAAACATCTTTTAAGGAAAATATATTCACTAAATAATCCTGTTATTATTTAATCTCAGTATTATAATTTCATCATTATAATTTCGATATAAGTTATTACCTATTAACTTTATGCTAAGTATCAAACAGTATTCCGCAAATCACTGATTCACAAAAAGAAAATGGACCCAAAAAAAAGAAAGAGAAAATTTTCATTTACTTGTAAAATTGGAACTCAAATAATTTTGAATTTTTCCTATGTAAAATGCGTGTGAACTACGCACTTATCTTTTGACATTGATCCCACTCAACTTCCCTCCATCAGTCTCCTCTATCCCCATTGCCTTGCTACTTCACACAAGACTATTAAGTTCACTTTTTCTTTTTCTTTTTTTATTTTAATTTTTTTATCCCTTTAATTTATTTTACATCAACAACAACAACAAAAAATTCAGTATCGTGCAGACAACCTTATCCCTAACTTGAAAAACTGTTTTCGATATATTCTAATACAGTCCAATATAATAGCAGGCTCGCGGCAATATAACAACAAATATATAGTAACGAAAAGAGTCATGAAAAAGCAATGACAACAGCAAAATAGTAACTTTAAATTATTTTAATTTTCGTTAATTAATCCTATCAGTTAAGACCAAACACAAATTAAGAAAAGAACAAGATTTTCTTTTCACCAAAATACCCTTCTAACAACTCTCCAATTTAGCATGTACCACAAGCCTATTTTTGACAGTTCACTAGCGCCACCATTTGATCAATCACTTGCTTAAGCTTTCTGTCTTTAAAACATCACACTATAACTGTTCAATGTTCATGTATTTTCTATTTTCATATACTACTCACAGAAGCAAATAAACCAATAAAAAAAGGTTAAAAATCCACTGCATCTTCTCTCTCTTGAAAGCAGAAACCAAATAAGTGATTACTGTTCCTGTTCTTGTTCATCTATTTTGTTGAGAAAAATCCAGTCTTTTTATTGTTTCTCCCACTGGGTTGTACTCATATTTATATAATTTGTGTATTTGATACATATTTTAGTTTATTCAAGAACCTGTATTTTGCTTGATAAAAAATTAAAAATCCAATCTTTTTATTGTTTCTTGAGCTGGGTTGTACTCATATTTATATAATTTGTGGATTTTGATACATATTTTAGCATTTTCAAGAACCTTTTTTTATGGGATGCCGCATGAAATTCTTGAATGTGGTTTTGGTGGTGGCGGCGGTGATGGCTGCTGCCGCCGCCGTGGCCTTCGGAGCTGAGAAATTGCCGGCGGGAGTGCTTAGTTTGGAAAGGATTTTTCCTTTGAATGGGAAGATGGAGCTGGAGGAGGTTAGAGCAAGGGACAGAGCTAGGCATGCTCGAATGTTGCAGAGTTTTGCTGGTGGTATTGTTAATTTTCCTGTTGTCGGTTCATCTGACCCTTATCTTGTCGGGTAATTACTTTGTTACGACCAATTTGATAAGATTATATTTGTGATGTTTTTAGTGTTTTCTTCCTTTTTCTAATGTGGAGTTATATTGCTATATTTGCTATATTTTATTTGGTATGATGACGATGATATGGCTTGAGCTTAAATGGAGAAGTGATGATTGGTATAGCGGACTCCAACTTGTTTGGGACCGAGGCGTTGTTGTTGTTGAGTTTTGTTTGGTTAATTTAGTCATTTTTTGGAAAGTTTGATTCTTTATGATGTTAAAACTTGGAACTTTTGGTGAATGTATGGAAGCTATGGACTATTTGATGTGTTATTAACGTCTTATGAATTTGATCTCATGAATTCTGATGTAAATTTTGTTTTAGTTTGAGGGTAATTGATTTTAAGTGTATTAAAGTACTTGTAACACAATGAATTTTGGTGTGCTGTTTTTCTTTTCTAGGTGCTTTCTTGTTAATTATCGGTTGGATGGTGTTGTTGATGGTAGTGATAGTTCTGTTTGCTTTATCTTGTATCGTTTCTTGTTCAGGTGCAAAATATTTAGGTACAATTGAATGATGAGTTTCGTGTTGCTCTGAATATGAACATTAGCTATATCAGTTTGGCATTTGCTTTCTGTTATTTGTGGATGAGGGATATTCTTATTGATTTGACTATCAATTTTGTTGACCATCGTCTCTTTCTCTCTCTTCTATGCTTTTGGTGTATTTGTAGCCTTTATTTTACAAAAGTAAGACTGGGAACTCCACCAAGAGAATACAATGTGCAGATCGACACTGGCAGTGATATCCTATGGGTCACATGTAGTTCCTGCGATGATTGTCCTCGGACAAGTGGACTTGGGGTAACTCATCTTCCCTTCATCTTGTTATTACTTTTTTAGTTTCTTGTTTAAAGTGTGGTGAAGGAATAAACTGTTACGTGGGTGCAGGTTGAGCTCAACTTCTATGATGCTACCATCTCGTCAACTGCTTCTCCCATTTCTTGTGCAGACCAAGTGTGCGCCTCTATAGTTCAAACTGCCTCCGCTGAGTGCTCTACGGAAACCAATCAGTGTGGTTACTCCTTTCAATATGGAGATGGGAGTGGCACAACTGGCCATTACGTAGCCGATTTACTATATTTTGACACAGTCCTGGGAACTTCTTTGATTGCCAACTCTTCAGCACCGATTATTTTTGGGTGAGTTCTTATTTTTTAAATACCCCTATATCTATACTTAAAATTTCATTAGAAATAGTTGTGGGTCATTTGAACCAGAAATATCTTTGGCCCAATTTACAAAAAAACCATGTTTGTTTACTCAAAGCTTATACTTGGATATGATTTAAAACAGGTGCAGCACCTCTCAGTCTGGGGACTTGACCAAGACGGACAGAGCAATTGATGGGATATTTGGGTTTGGTCAACAGGGTCTTTCAGTAATATCTCAACTGTCTTCTCATCGGATTACTCCTAAAGTATTTTCACATTGCTTGAAAGGAGAGGGAAATGGTGGAGGTATACTAGTCCTTGGTGAGATTTTGGATCCGAGAATCGTATATAGTCCCCTTGTTCCGTCACAGTACGTATTGTTACAGTACAATGAAGTTTCTTTTCTTGCTTATGACGAATATAGAGATTTAATTGTTTTCATCTTTAGTGTGCCTTGTGCTACATGATATAAAACAGTTGTGTTCTTTATAGTTTGTGATCCAGCTTGAGCATGTGAAATATACCTCTCATGCGCTACATCCTGATTTTATTGAAATTTCGTCACTATATTATTGGTTTTGCATCTACAGATATATAGTAGTTGGGTCTTGGGAAGATGACATCAATGAAACTTTACTTTGTACATATAAAAAAGGGCAGCCCGGTGCACAATTTTGAGTGTTATATATATATATATATAT